CTCGCCTACGTGAAGTCCGAGCTGCTGAAGAGACACACGTGCACAGACCTGGGTGAACTGCGCAGCTACCTTGGCTTGCAGATCACTCGGGACAGAGCACGCCGCACCATTACCCTGACTCAGTCACACATGGTGCAGCAGGTCCTTCAGCGCTTCGGCTTCACGTACTCCTCGCCTCAGGCCACTCCTCTGCCTACTCGCCACTCACTCTCAGCTCTGCCTTCGGATGAGTCCGTAGAGTCGAGTGGTCCGTATGCAGAGCTTGTTGGCTGCCTCATGTACCTGATGACCTGCACTCGACCTGACCTTGCATACCCTCTGAGCATCCTTGCACGCTATGTTGCTCCTGGGAGACACCGACCAGAGCACATGGCTGCAGCGAAGAGGGTATTGCGCTACCTGTGCAGTACGTCGGGCATGGGGCTAGTGCTTGGAGGGCGGAGTCCAGTGGTCCTTACTGGGCACGCAGACGCTTCTTGGGCTGACGACCAGGCTACGCAGCGGTCGTCACAGGGTTACACCTTCAGCCTTGGTTCCGGCTCTGTCTCGTGGCGGTCTACTCGCTCGTCTTCGGTTCTCGGCTCCAGTTGTGAGGCTGAGATCTACGCCGGGGCCATGGCTGCACAGGAGCTTCGCTGGCTCACCTACCTGCTGACTGACCTTGGAGAGCTGCCTCGTTCTCCTCCAGTGCTGTACGTAGACAACAAGGCCATGTTGGCCTTGTGTCGAGAGCAGCGCTTGGAGCACAGAACGAAGCACATTGCTCTCCGCTACTTCCTTGCTCGTGAGCTGCAGCAGCGTGGTCAGTTGCGACTTGCTTACGTGGCCTCTGAGGCCAACACTGCTGATGTGTTCACCAAGGCACTTGCGCCTTGCGACCATCAGCGCTTTTGTACCCAGCTGGGTCTTGTACCTGTCTTGCCTCACTTGCTCTCTTCTTGACTTTACTTGTACTTTGACATATATATACCTGCTCTTGCTTGTCTAGTTTTATATATATGTCTTTACTCCTGCATGTGAACTGGCCTCTGGCCTTGCTCTTGTGCTCGGACTGTGTGGTGACTTTGTGATCCACCCTGAGCTTGTTTTGCTTTGCTTGACTGGTCTTGTGACCCCTTGTTCTCCCCCACTTTGCCTATGGGGGTGTGTCAGATTATTATAGCTGATGCATGTTTGTAGGCTATAGTGGGGTAGCACATATGGGGTACAGTTTGCTAGGGTTGTATTTGTACCCAACTCTGACTTAGTCAATTCATTCCTCTGCTCATAGTTTCACAAGGCGGCAGAATACCACGCACGTTACCTGCGCACTCACGGAATTCGCGCAGAGGACGATCTCTGGCATTAGCGTCTCGGCCACCCCTCGCGTCAGACATTCAACAACTGCCTTCGCGCTAAAGTTTTCCTGCCAGGAGGTTGCTGCGCCCTGACGGCACGGAACCGCTCAGCACGTCACACCCAACCACGTGCACCATCTGTCGTACTGCAGCTCTCACGCACCAAGCCTACCCTTCCTTGGAGCCGAGCACCAATCGCTACAAGAAACTACAGAAAGTCTACAGCGACTTTGTCGTGCTCACCTTCGACGGCATCAACGACGAACGATACACACTCACCTTCGTGGATGCATACTCACGCCACGTCTGGATCGCCAACATCGACGTTTGCTCAAAGGCTCCCGAAGTCTTCCGCATCTGGCTCCCACACACACAACGACAATCAGGGAAGAAGCTGAAAATCTGGCAGACTGACGGTGCTAAGGAATTTCGCAGCCACGACCTGGAGAGCGTTGTCGCAGAGAAGGGGATCAAGCATCAAATCTCACTCCCCTATGCTCACCAGTAGCCATGCGTCGCTGAGAGAGTCAACCACACCCTCGTGACGAAAGTGCGCGCCCTCATGAACCAGTCCGGCTTACCCAAGAAATACTAGCCGTACGCCATGAACCACGTTGTGGGCCTGCACAACCTCCTCTCCACCACGGCAAATAAGGGCAATCTCTCCTTGCACATGAAGTGGACCGGCTCGAGGGGAGACACCTCCATGCTGAGGGTCTGGGGGTGCATGGTGCAGTATCGGCCGACATCGGCCACAACCGGCAAGTTCACTTACCGCGCACGCTGGGGAGTCCACCTAGGGCTCAATCATGAGTACCAGGGTTGGCTGCTTCTTGACATTGACAACAAAAAAATCGTCCCCGCTCGTGACGTTCTCTTCTATGAGCGTCTCACCTTGGAGCAGTGGATCGAAGATCAGCGTCGCAACGTCGCACGTGCCTATGCCAACACCGGCCACAGCTTTGCATCCCCTGAAGACGAGGCAGCAGCAGCAGCATTCGACTGCGACCCCGCCGACAAACACCTTGGTGTACCACCTCGCCCGTACGACGACACGACGATGATGACGACGATGAAACTCCTACACCAGTACCATCCCGACGCCAGACTCAACCCAGCACCTCCGCACCTGAAAATGAGAGTGACGATGATGATGTGGTGGAGGTCACCACCACGGACGCCACAGACACCACCAACATGTCTGGCCTGCAGCTTCTCGGCCTACGCACGATCGTTAGTACCCTCATGCATGACGTCGAGCCCAAGAACCCTCGCCAGGCCCTAGCGGATCCTCACGCCAAGGAGTGGCGTGTTGCTATGGACGCAGAACTGAAGGCGCTGGAATCATGCGACACGTGGGTTCCAGTTGATCGTGCAGCAGTGAAGGGGAGGAGGGTGCTAAGTGGAAAGCGGGTTTTCCGTCTGAAAACTAATGCTGATGGCACTAGCGAGCGTTTCAAGGCACGCTGGGTCGTACGCAGGTACGACCAGCGCCACGGCATTGATTTTGATCAAACCTTTGCCCCCGTCAGACGTCACACCTCCGTCAGGATTCTACTCGCTATTGCCGCTGCTAAGCATTTGCTACTGCGGCAGATCGACGTGAAGAAGGCGTTCGTATACGCGCTGGTGGATGCAACTATCTTCGTGGAGCAGCCGGACACCTACGGAGAAGGAGATCCTAGGGTTTCTCAGCTGAAAAAATCCTTCTACGGGATAAAGCAGGCGCCGCGTCTTTGGCAACAGCACCTGCACAAAATCCTTCTGGCAGCTGCCACACGACCCGGGAAGGTACCGCCTCCACTTCAATGGCGATTACATCCTCTTGACTGTCTACACAGGCACCTGCTCTACACAGGCACCTGCAATAAGCTCCTTAACCAGTTCGAGGAAAACCTGGTGTAGCGCGTTGACATCACCATCAACCACAGCGTCACACAGTTTCTGGGGCTGAACATCACTTATGTGCTAGAAGCAATTCACCTGTCAGCCTCCAAGTACACAGAGCAGCTGGGGGAACGCTTCAACATCTCACCCGCACCATTGCGAACTCCTTACCACAACCCCAGTGCCAACTACAAACCGGAAAACAAGCTTCTATCGCCTGCAGGACTCGAACTGTACCAGCAGCAACTGTGGTGCCTGCTGTTCGCCTCTGTCACATGCAAACCCGACCTTTCGTACAATGCCAGCCAACTGGCACACTACTCTCGCAAGCCAGTAGCTGAGAACCAGCTGGACCTGAAGCGCGCCCTGCAGTACTTCATTCCACAACTGACATTGGGCTCTCCTACTCCACGCTGACGACAACCTCCTTCAACCTCAACGACTACGTGGACGCAGATCATGCCGCTGATCCTGCGAATCAAAGGTCACGAACCGACTTTGTTTCCGCGTGGAGCCAATAGGACCAATCTCCTAGAACTCACAAAAGCAGAAGATGGTTGCCCTGTCATCGGCCGAAACAGAATACATCGCCACGACAGCAGCAATTCGCGAAGGTCTGTACCTACAGGAGCTGCTGCAGGAAGCAAAAATCACAACTCGCCCACCTTTCGCCTTCACTGCGACAACCAGAGTGCCATCAAGATCGCGAACAAGCCAGGATTCGCGAACCGCACGAAACACATCGCGCTTTGGTACTTTTTTTTGTCAAGGATGAAATTGACTAGGGCAAAGTTGACCTCGCATACTGCCCTACCACCGAGATGGCAGCCGACTTTCTCACCACGCGACTGACACGTCAGCAGTACAAGCATTGCTCCGATCTCACCGGACTAGTCAAACGAGTCAGCCCCCTGCGCGCCCAGGAATGATGGGGAGTGTTATGATATGAAACTTTATGAGAAGACATTCATGTATGCTGCAGAAGCCGACTCTACCGAGTACGAAGTCGAGGAATCAAAAGAGTCGAAGCGACGCTAGTAACCGTCTGACCAAGAACGATGCAGGCTGAAGCGTTTGAATTGAAAAGAGCGGGAACAGGTTTGAAACGAGCACCCGCGCCGCACGGTTTGAATTTCGCTGTAATAAGGGAATGTACCCTTTAGAGTACATGGCTAGTCTAGGTCGTTTCATATTTTTCCTATAGAAACTCGATGTATGCATGCTATTATCAATCTAAGACATTTACATTCACTTTGACCTGAGGTCAACACTTCCGCTGCAACACTACCCTGAGCGATCCTTCGCTAAGTCCCACTTGGGATTGTAGCAAAAAGGATACTAAACTAATTAGTATACATGTTGTTATTATAATATAATTCTACCACGAAGGTTGGGGGGACAAAAACTTCGGGTAAATACGGTTCAAATAAGGCACAGGCTGTTGTACAAGCATATTACCAAGGGTATTATTATGGAATATGTTTGATACAAAGTCATGGTAATTAAGATAAGGGGTATAAGAGGAAGGTGGAAATGGTCGAACAGAGAAAGGGTGATAAGGAGAGGAGCTGGAGAAAAAGAGAAGGGCCAAAGGAGAGGTGGAAAGAGGAAAAGAAGAGAGGAAGAAACTAAAAGAAGGAAGCACCTAAGGACCAAAACACCACAGCAACCCGCACCACAGCGCGGGACACAGCCTTTCAAGCACAATCGCTAAACGCCTACACATATGCATCGTACATATACTGCATGTCTGCCACGCTCTCAAAGCAGCCGGTAATGATGCCAACTGCCCTGCCCTGCACCCAAAGGGACTGGTGCGGGCACCCACCCATCGTCTGGCCCTCCCAGCTTTCGGCCTCTCCTGCCCCTGCTGAACCTCTTGTTGCTAGCTGTGCTGTCCTCTCTCCTCTCCCCCACCAACCTTCCCCTCCTGCCTTTGCTGGCCATGCTGTTGTTGTTGCTGCTGCTGCTATCGCTGCTGTCCCCTCTCCTCTTCCCTAGTAGCCTGCCCCCACTAACCCTCTTGCTGTTGCCCCTGTTGACCCTCCTGCTGCTGCCCCTGCTGACCCTCTTGCTGCTGCCCTTGCTGTCCTCTCTCCGCTCCCCTACTGGCCTGCCCCTCCTGCCCCTGCTGGGCCATCTGCTGTAGTCGTTGCTGTTGCTGTCTCCTCTCCTCCACTCAGCCAGCCTGCCCCTGCTGATCCTCACGCCGCTGCCCTAGCTGATCCTCCTGTTGCTGCCCATGCTGACCCTCCTGCTGCCGCCCCTGTTGACCCTGCTGACCTTCCCGGTGCTGCCGCTGTTGCCCTCTCTCCTCTCCCCTACAAACCTGCTGTTGCTGTCCCTGCTGGCCTTGCGGCTGCTGCTGCTGCCGCTGCTACTGCAGCTGCTGTTGCTGCTGTCCCCTCTCCTCTCCCCCACTAGCGAGCCCCTCCTGCCCCTGCCGGCCCCGCTACTGTTGTCCATGCTGTCCTTTCTCCTCACCCCTACGGCTCTGCCCCTCCTGCCCCAGCTGGCCTAGCTGCTGCTGCTGCGGCTGCGGCTGCTGTTACTGCTGCTGCTGCTGTCCCCCCTCCTCTCCCCCACTAGCCAGCCCATCCTGCCCCTCTCGGCCCTCCTGCCCACCAGCCCCTCGACCGAGCCCACCCTGCTGCTGCTGCTGTCCCCACGGTGCCCCTGACTGTCCCGGTACCCCGTCCCCCGTCCCCGAGAGTCCGTGCAGTCGCGCTCTAGCTGCCTCCAGGTGCAGAATCAAAGTGGTGTCCTCCACCTTCACCGCAAAGCCTGCCTCGGAAGCAAAGTCCCGGAGCATGTATTTTGAGAAGATGAGAACGAGAATGAATGACTAAGGAATGGAAGTGATACAAATATGCAACCCTTGAAATGTGTACCCCATATGGGCTACCCCACTATAGCCTACACAATATTATAATTTGACACACCCCCATAGGCAAAGTGGGGGAGAACAAGGGGTCACAAGACCAGTCAAGTAAAGCAGACAAAGCTCAGGGTGGATCACAACGTCACCACACAGTCCGAGCACAAGGTTAAGGCCACAAGGCCAGTTCACATGCAGGAGTACACATATATATATAAGGCTAAACAAACAAGATCAGGTATATATATATATATATGTAAGAGTACAAGCAAGGTCAAGGGGTGAGCAAGTGAGGCAAGACAGGCACAAGACCCAGCTGAGTGCAGAAGCGCTGATGATCACAAGGCGGAAGTGCCTTGGTGAAAACATCAGCAGTGTTGGCCTCAAAGGCCACGTACGCAAGTCGCAACTGACCACGCTGCTGCAACTCACGAGCAAGAAAGTAGCGGAGAGCAATGTGCTTCGTTCTGTGCTCCAGGCGCTGCTCCCGACACAAGGCTAGCATGGCCTTGTTGTCTACGTACAGCACCGGAGGAGAACGAGGCGGCTCTCCGAGGTCAGTCAGCAGGTAGGTAAGCCAGCGAAGCTCCTGTGCAGCCATGGCCCCGGCGTAGATCTCAGCCTCACAACTGGAGCCGAGAACAGAAGACGAGCGAGTAGCCCGCCACGAAACAGAGTCGGAACAAGGGCTGAAGGTGTAACCCTGTGACAACCGCTGCGTAGCCTGGTCGTCTGCCCAAGAAGCGTCCGGGTGCCCAGTGAGGACCACTGGACTCCGCCCTCCAAGCACTAGCCCCATGCCCGACGTACTGCACAAGTAGCGCAACACCCTCTTCGCTGCAGCCATGTGCTCTGGTCTGTGTCTCCCATGAGCAACATAGCGTGCAAGAATGATAAGAGGGTATGCAAGGTCAGGTCGTGTGCAGGTCATCAGGTACATGAGGCAGCCAACAAGCTCTGGGTACGGGCCACTCGACTATACGGACTCATCCGAAGGCAGAGCTGAGAGCGAGTGGCGAGTAGACAGAGGAGTGGCCTGAGGCGAGGAGTACGTGAAGTCGAAGCGCTGAAGGACCTGCTGCACCATGTGTGACTGAGTCAGGGTAATGGTGCGGCGTGCTCTGTCCCGGGTGATCTGCAAGCCAAGGTAGCTGCGCAGTTCACCCAGGTCTGTGCACGTGTGTCTCTTCTGCAGCTCGGACTTCACGTGGGCGAGTCCAGCAGTGTCAGCTGTGGCAAAGACCAAGTCGTCGACGTACACGAGGATGTAGAACGGCGGCAGAGAGGTGTCGGTGCGTAGAAACACCGACGGGTCAGCAGTAGAGGGAGCAAACCCAAGAGCCGCAAGCGTAGTCCTCAGTGTGTCGTGCCACTCGCGCGGTGCCTGGCGGAGACCATAGACTGGCCGTCGGAGGCTCCACTGGGTGCCAGGAGGGAAAGTCCCAGTGAAGCCAGGTGGACGGCGCAACCAGATCTCCTCGTGCTGGCTACCCTGCAGGAAATCAGTGCTGAAGTCAAGGGAGTGAAGCTCGTAGTCACGCTGAGTGGCTACGTGTAGCAGCACCCGAAGAGTGGTCATCTTTGGGGTGGGAGAGAAGGTCTGAAAGTAGTCAGCTCCCTGCCGCTGACTGAAGCCACGAGCCACGTACCGCGCCTTGAAGACAGGTGGAGAGCCCGGCGGCCGCTTCACCCTGAAGATCCACATGCCACTGACGATGTTCGCCCCAGGAGGGGGAACCGCGTCAACGTAGGTGCCTGTGGACTTCCAGGAAGCCATCTCTGCATCCATAGCTGCCTTCCACTGAGAGGAGTCGGGACCCTCTACGGCCTCCGCGTAAGAGCGCGGAGTCGGGATGTCTAGTGCATCCGGGTCTCCCTCAGGGGTAAGCAGTACGGACGCGAGATGAGGTGAAGCAGCAGCCAGACACTGGAACTCCTCCTGCGTGTCCTCAAGGACGTCTGTGCCAAGAGCACACTCACCCCCGACGGACGGAGGACAGACAGACGCAGACTCAGCAACAAGACTAGCAGCGTAGTCTAGACGACAGCGAGCAGCAAAGTCGACGAGCTCAGGAACAAGAGCAGACGCAGCAGTGGGCTCAAAGGAGGGGTCAGTGACAACAGTAGCAAGGAGACGCGTGACAGTAGGACTGGCAGCACGAAGAGAGTCCGACTCAGGGTCGGCAAGCACAGGAAGAGAGGACTCGGGAGGAGAGGGCAAAGGGGCACGTAGAGGGGCAGTGGACGGATGCAGAGACATCCGGTGCGTGCCAGGGACAGGAGGAGGACGCTGACGTGAACTGCGACCACTAGTGCGAGCAGCACGAACAGGCGACGCAGGACGAGACGCAGGCTCACGACGCTCAGCAAGACCTCCAGTAGGACCAGTGTACGGAGAAGGAGAAGGCAGTGGGGAGGCCAGCGGTAACTGTGACTGCGACTGGACAGGCGGTGGACACTCTAAGGGAGGAGGAAGACCAAGAACCTGCTGAAGGAGCGGAACAAAGTACGGCCGAGGCCGCGCGGCGACTCCAGACACAGCAGGGACAGCACCAGCACCCCCAGCGGCAGCACCAGCGTCAAAAGCACCTCCAGCTCCAGTACCTCCAGCAGCACCAGCAGCACCCGCAGCAGGACCGCCGCCAGCACTGACAGCAGTAGCCTCAGTGCCAACACCCTCAGCAGCTCCGACTCCAGTAGCACTCGCAGGACTAGCACCCCCGAGACCAGCGGCACCAGCACCCTCAGCAACCGAAGAAGCACCAGCTCCAGCAGTACGCCTCCAGCGCCGGGCAAACCACTCGCGCAGCTCCAGTGGAGAGAGTGGCTCCCGCTGAGACGAAGCACCCGGAGAACCACCAGGCCCAGCACCGCCAGACGCCACTGGAGCGGGCTCCGCACCCCCAGGCTCAGTAGCTCCAGACTCAGCACCCCCAGGCTCAGCACCCCCAGTCGTAGCATCCCCAGGCTCAGCACCCCCAGGCTCAGCACCCCCAGTCGCAGCACCCCCAGACTCAGCACCCCCAAGCTCAGCACCCACGCGCGCAGCACCCCCAGAGTTAGCACCCCCAGGCTCAGCACCCCCAACAGTACCAGAGTCACCAGCAACCTCGACCGGCTCGACTGCATCTACCTGGGACACACCTGAAGGGGCAGGACCCTGAGGGGGGAGGGGGTCTACCGGGGGGGGACCTGGCACAAGGAAGTGCGGTGGCGGGGGGAGGGAAGGAGTGCGGTAGGGGAAGAGGCGGTAGTAGGGTACTGACTCGTCGAACGTGACGTCCTGGGAGGATAGAACACGACGAGAGGTCCTGAGCTGGAGACGAGCTGCGCGGATCCAGTCGATCAACACCTCAGCGACATCACCCTTTCTGCGCAAGGGGAAGACTGTGGTGTAACGCGAGTAGTCGTCAACCACCAGCAGGAAGTAGCGCTCGTGACCCTGTCCACGGACGCGGGCCGGGCCCCACACGTCCATGTGAAGCGTCTGCAGCGGGGCCTCTATCGGGGGAAACTGAGAGGAGTGAGGGGCAGCTCGGAGCCGCCCCTCGACACAGGGGACAGAGGAAGGACCAGGCCCCGGAGGAAGGGGAGGGAGGGACCGGGGAACCCCAGAGACAAGGACACGGGAAGCCATGCCTCGGAGACGAGGCAGGGAGGGGTGACCAAGACGGTGGTGCAAGAGAAGAGTCTCGTGAGACAGGAGGCGATACGAGCAGGGGGCAGACTCAGGACCAGACCTGGACGCTGCAGCAAACACCTGACCCGACGCAGCTACCTGACCAGACGCAGTGACTGGAGGAGACGCAGTGGTCAGTGTGTACAGGCTCGACCCCGGCCGACGTGTAAACGTGGCCAGGTGTCGGCCTGTCCGAGCGTCCGTGCACGGGTTACCCGTTGACTCGCAGGAGTGAACTGGTGAACCCCCGTATCCTGCAGGTCAGCACCACTCACCAAGTCCGTAGAGAACGAGGGGAGGTAAAGACCAGACAAGGTGCCAGAGGGGGCAGCCGGACACGGGAGGACAGTGGAGAAGTGAGAGAGGACAGGACCCCCAGAGGGGTCTGCCAGGGAGACTGCAACTGGCCGACCAAGTGGCGTGAGTGTGGTGCGGTCTCGAAAGAAGGAGCGAGAAGCCCCTGCATCAAGTGTGAAGGTGAGGGAGGCCGAAGCCGACGTGGTACCTGAGAGCGCAGACTCTCCAGCACCTGAGGGCGCGGACGCAGTGGCACCTAGAGCAGCAGCCTCACCAGTACCTAGAGCAGCAGTACCAATGCCCGGGTCGGGCGGGAAACACCGGTAACAGTCACCCTCATCGCTAATAGTCACAGCATACATGGCAGCAAGGATAGCATCAAAGTCAAGATCAAAGATAGCTACGCCTGCCCTAGACAGCTCTCCCCAGCGGGGGATCTCACTAGCCTCCGGGAACTGCTGACGCCAAGCGTCCGTCAGGCGGCCAAAGCAGCGCTGGGTGGGGTGAGCACCCCCACACTGCTCACCCGCGCGGTCGCCGGAGCGAAGGACGTAGGTGCACGGGCCAAAA